AAACTTCCAGCTCCCGTTCCTATACATCTCCAACAAACTCCCGTTCTATATCTCCAACAAACTCCCGTTCTATATCTCCAACAAACTCCCGTTCTACTACATCTCCAACAAACTCCCGTTTTACATCTCCAACACACTCCCGTTTTACATCTCCAACAAACTCTCCAACACACTCCCGTTTTACATCTCCAACACACTCCCGTTTTACATCTCCAACAAACTCTCCAACACACTCCCGTTTTACATCTCCAACACACTCCCGTTTTACATCTCCAACAAACTCTCCAACACACTCCCGTTTTACATCTCCAACACACTCCCGTTTTACATCTCCAACAAACCACATGACAAGCCTGTGCTGGTTTGCTTCACTTTATTTCAGAGCAAAAAACACAAAATCTGAAAAATACCAAACACAAAACCATAGATATGGCCTCCAGTAATTATTCTTCCTTACACATAAAAACAAAACCAGAACGTTGAATGTGTGGAAATTCCTCCCAGTCCCAAGTGGTCTCCACAAACGACATGTTCAAGAGTTCTTTGCCTCCAGAAAACAAGTAAAGCACAATACTACCAGCATAGAGCATCACTTCTTCTACAAAGTATGCGCAACATTTGCATAACGCCAAAAGAGCTGGTGGGAACTTCTGAACCTGTCACAAGTATCTCCTCGCTAGAATTCTGTACTTTTTGTAACAGACTGAGATGTGGTTTATCGGCTTTGATAGACAGTGTGGCCTCTCTATACCGACCTTCGATATAACGAAATCCTCTCCATATACCACCTTCGATATAACGACATCTTCTCTAGAGCGACACGGTGCCCAGGTCCCGATTTTCCCCTAATGTATCATTAGTAATATCTTTGGTTGCCTCTCTATAACGGCAACTCTCTATAGCGACAACCCTCTATAGCGACAACCCTCTATAGCGACAACTCTCTATAACGACAACTCTCTATTCTGTAACATTTTCTCCCGGTCCCGTCGATGTGGTTCTAGAGGCTACACTGTAGGCCTGCTTGTTGTCCCACTCTAAACACATCTCTCCACAACCCCCCCCCCCCACAACTTTCCCCACACACTGGAGTCTCTTCCCATTTAGTAACCTTGAACCAGAGTAAGACAAGTCTTCAAAAGTTTACAATAAGCTTTTTTCTGAAAAGCCAACTCCCACATAGCTTCAAGTACCTGGTACAACATAGAACATTCACAAATCAGTGTCAAGTTCATTGTTATAAAAAACTGAGCAGGTGAAAAAACCACCCAAACAAAATACAAAGTACCAAAGCAAACCCCAGGAAACTTTCTTCATGAAACCACATTTACTTTCCCATCTGTAGCTCACACAGACAAACAGATGAACGACACAGCTCAACACCGACACAAGAGAAAGCAATGTGCAGTACCATGGCACAGAGCACTACAGCACACAGATCTGGAAATACGACACACAGCATGCTAGCGGTATATTTCTATTTTGGTACCGTATCGCTGGGATCAAAGCACAGCATGAGACAGTCCAAACGTACGCAAACAACTGTCAGCAACACAATCAGACAGAAACAGAGGGATGGTCTTCCATGAAAAGCCTTCCAGTTATCCAGTTCTAAAGACAGGTAACTATGGTAACCTGTATACAGACAAACTGAAAGTTCACAAAGAAATGGGTAGAAAGGATTACTATGACTACGAGACATATGATAATACAGTCAGATTTCATGCCAGAGAGGGCTGCCAGCCTCCGTGCGATAGACTACACAAAAACTTAAGCCTACACTGACTGCACCAAAGACTAAGATCCCAATTCTCCCAAACTTCCAACATTTCCAGGAGTCTCACACACAGCAGAGGCTAATCTTGTCACTAAATCTAGCTGGGTTATCTTAACGGCCTTCATGAATATTTGGAAGCACATGCAAAAATGAGAAATTTATAGAAACAGATGAATAATTCACTTTTTTGGAAGCCATAAACATATTTTTGAAGCTTTCGAACGGTAGTTTTTTCCTCGCGTTGACAGCAACAATGTATTCACAGCGGAAACATTCAGTTTGAGCACACATACCACACACACACACACACACACACACACACACAGTGACAGCAACAATGTATTCACAGCGGAAACATTCAGTTTGTGCACACATACCACACACACACACACAAACACACACACACAGTGACAGCAACAATGTATTCACAGCAGAAACATTCACTGCCTGTGCACACACACACACACACACACACACACACACACACACACACACACACACACACACACACAGTACAAGTACAGCTTGTTCTTTTCCCTGGCCTGCTTTACCTTGGAGAAAGTTGAGTAGTTTGAACTAGCTGGTTATCCACTCTGCCTCATTCACAGATTTCTGACACACATCAGTACCCACCAATAAACAAAAGAGTATTTTTAAAATGAAGCATTCGACTTTTTACATCCACAAAACACATGGTTACAAAATTGAATTCATTAATTTTTGTTTAACACTTTTTGATAACACAAACGACAAGAACTTGGAAATGTTTTGACAAAAGTTTACTTGGGAAAATAATTGAGAGTGTCCTGACAACTTATTATTAAAAAACTTCTCAATTTATACGACAGCAATACCGTATCAGTTTGACCAAAAAGTTGACCAGCAAAGATTCAGCACACAAAGACACTGAGACCAGGAGGCTCCGCTCTGAACATTGGCTATACAGGAAACCTGAAATGTGGACAACGAGACATAAACCATTGTTTTATGACAACTAACCATTGATAAATTCACACCACAAACATTAAAGATCACATCGTACATTCTATATATGAAATACTGTGCAAACCATTTTATCCGGATCTGTCACAACGGCAAGTCACGATGACGTCAAATTCGGAATGTCTCGGCAAACAATACAAAAAGCACACCCATCAAAAGCAGAGCAGCTGACCTTGAGTTCCTCTGACATTTGTACAACTGATAGAACTGACCTTGTTGCAGCAATGCTGAGAGACAGGCATACACAAAAATAGCTGTGTTCAAATGAAGACTACAGAGGAAACAACAGCAATCACATTAGCCAGAAACTATTGACTTCTACCTTTTTACTTATTGTGGTTTCAAGATCCGGCAGTTCTGTGAGAAGAAGAATATTTTACAGAGAGAAAAGCCAAAGTACGCGTAACAAAATGGACAGAGAAAATTTCGTATCTTTCTTCAAGACAGGAATCTCTAAAGTTAACAAAGAATTCTCAGAACCATTTGACGGAGAAACCTACTGTTGTTTCAAATGTAGTCTTCAGGTCCTTTTCATTTTATTTTACAACTTGGCAAACGTTGCAGGACAAAGACAGACAAAGGCAGACAAAGACAGACAAAGACAGACAAAGGCAGACAAAGACAGACAAAGACAGACAAAGACAGACAAAGATAGACAAAGACAGACAAAGGCAGACAAAGACAGACAAAGGCAGACAAAGACAGACAAAGGCAGACAAAGACAGACAAAGACAGACAAAGATAGACAAAGACAGACAAAGACAGACAAAGATAGACAAAGGCAGACAAAGGCAGACAAAGACAGACAAAGACAGACAAAGACAGACAAAGACAGACAAAGGCAGACAAAGACAGACAAAGACAGACAAAGATAGACAAAGACAGACAAAGGCAGACAAAGACAGACAAAGACAGACAAAGATAGACAAAGACAGACAAAGACAGACAAAGACAGACAAAGACAGACAAAGATAGACAAAGACAGACAAAGGCAGACAAAGACAGACAAAGGCAGACAAAGACAGACAAAGGCAGACAAAGACAGACAAAGACAGACAAAGATAGACAAAGACAGACAAAGACAGACAAAGATAGACAAAGACAGACAAAGACAGACAAAGACAGACAAAGGCAGACAAAGACAGACAAAGACAGACAAACACAGCTGTATGATGGAGGCAGATCTAAGCACAAGGAGATCAGAAAACATTCAAGTAACTGCTTTAGGAAAAGATGATATATAATACTCTCTCTCTCTCATACACACACTCACACACACACACACACACGTTTAACTCCACATCTTCCTCTGACAGACATTCAAAAGGACCACATGTTCTAGATAATATCTTGGAAAGATGAGAAATTAGGTTACATTGCAATCCCTCTAAAGAAATGAAAGACACAATAATAGGAAAATCATTCTGATAAATTATTTCTCTCTCCGATTCCTTCTGTATGTGGTTGTGTTGTTATCACAATATTTCATCATTTGGACAACAATAAATCAATCTTGGGTGACACTGTCATAAACAGAGGATCGGTCAACAAAGTACAGTAAAGCTAACAGACCGTACCACTGACAGTGGCAATGTTCTCATACATACACAAATACTTCTACAGTTCAAACACTCAGGATCCACAAGCGTGCTGACAAAATGAGTTACTTCTCCGATTCAAGCCTAAAGGAAATATATACATCACACTTATAGCTTGAAGTTTTTACAATTGACAAGTAGGAAATAATAAAAGGCATGTTATAATTATAGAATATGGCATTAACAAAAAAAATGTACAAATTTGACCCAAGTGTCGATTTTTAGTCAATACCTCCATTTGTGGAATGCGAGAAGAAACAGTTTGTCAGCAGACCTCAAATTTGTGAGGCATCATAGTCAATCAGGCGCTTGTCAAAGAAATGACATTGAAGAAACTGGAATTTTTCTACCCGACAGGCAAATTTGATCAAAGTTTGGTATTTTAACTCAACGTCTTTAAAATCCATTAAAAAACACATTTCAGTGTGGATTTTAACGAAAAACGTTGATTTAAGGAACAAAATGTCAACTTGTAGTTTCCAAGGACTCTCAAGCTATGGAAGTCACCAGACTTTGGCGGACATTTTCTCGCTAATTTTACCTCAGAAACCAGGTGACCCCCTCCCCCCACCCCACCCCCTTCAATCGCAACTATTCTGACTTCTATTCACGATAGAAGAGAATTTTTTTCACCAAAAACAAGAGAAATGAACAAGCTTAAAGACGATACCAATAACTCCACATGCCCAAAAATTGACAAGTGCCTGATTCCACCTCATTGTGACACAATTTGTTACAGAAAGCCAGCAAAATAAATACTTTGAGAGGACTCAATTGACAATCAGTGAGTTTCTGTGAGTGCAGAAATAATTAGAAGTGAAAAAAGTCTGAAAAGTAATATCTGAACAAAACCCACACAAAAAATGAAACAAGCCAACTGCGACAGGAAATATCAAAATGCTGCCAAACTGGCCACTCCCCGCTACAGAGAAGCTGTTTGCAAAAATGTGCGGGTACCCTGCAACACACAAAAGAATTTGTCACCATCATACAAAGGTTCAGAGAAGTGGTGAGCTCAAGTCAAAAAACAAAACACAATCAGTGGACACTGACAAAACCTGCCATGTCACAAAGTAGGACGACATATCACAGAAATGGAATATTCATTAATAATGGCTGAAATGAAAATGAAACAGAAAAAAAGAAAAGAACAAAAGATGATTACATTCATCCGTGTCCAAAACTCCAAATCACAACAGATCTATAGATAGTTCATCAATATTGCACAACAACACCCCTCTTCTACTCAACGCACATCACAAAATCCCACATCGGTCACTACATCGCAGCACACCTAGCAGGCACGGTCAACTCGCTTTGATGAAGGACACACCACACACCTACCTGTCCAAAGAACGCTACCCTTCAATGCCACTCCAACAAGTAAAATATTTCCAAAGGAAACCATCTCTTTCAGACTAAATCCGAAACTGAAAATGAGAAGTAAAATGTGAAATTGATGCATCTTTCACTTGCACTTTGATGAGGATCATTAAGATGACAGGGAGAAGACATCCCCCCAGACCATCAGATGCCACAAGGGGACTGAACTCACACGTCTGGCCTACAAAGTAGAGAAGACAACTATTACAAAACAGGCACCACCAAATGGTCCTTTCTGGTGTTAATTACTGGCTGAATTCCCATTGAAGAAACTGAGACTTGGCTGTCAGAGTAATCTTATTACATTTTGTTAAATGAAGAATTTTAATACAGGAAAAGTAATCAGACCCATCATTGAAAAAAAAATGTTGGTCCCAAATTATATTTGCAAAATGAATAAGACATGTGTAAACTATTTCGTCTTATGAACTCAGTCAGCCAGCCTGAGCTTCATGTCATAACAACTGAATTGAAAGTGATTAAACCGTAGACAAAACAATAAACACAAACTCCTCTGCTTTGGATCAAATAATGCTTATGATTTTGAGCAATCAGTGCTGTGTAGAATAAAGCACACATTTGGCGGCGGAAATTAATTTTTCTCATACGCACCACACATACTGCGACTTACAACAACTCACTCCAGATGACGAGCGACCGATAGGTTCGTGTTATTCACTCTCAAGTGTCAAGTGTTGCCACGTCTTCAACAGACTCTCACAGAATGTCTCAAGCTGAAGCATTTTCTTCTGTGGTCTCCCCTCTCCATCAAGGCTACACCCCATTGGTACATTTTCATTTTCAACGATGAAAAACCAAAAACAGACAAGAATACAGCGAAAAGCTTAAAGGTCCGACGGGACATTCCAAATAACATGGTTTTAAGAAATGAATAATAACCAAGTCAAAATAACCAATGTCGCAAGATTATCAGTGTAAAAATGACAATCAGATGAGACAAATCCTTGACCAAAACATCCAGAACTTGGCAGACAGGAACACAGACATGACTGTGTTATGGTGCCTTCTGATCAGCAAATATCAAATATATGTATTAGGAAAGTTACAAAACACCATGCCTCCATATCACAAACACACTGTTTAACTACAAGGGATTTCTCTATCATAGTAAACATTATTGGTGAACTTTACAAAATCATCTATGCTTGAAAAACTTGTAGAGACGTTCAAATGTAGCCTTCCCATCCACTGATGCAGCAAATACGTTCAAATGTAGCCTTCTCATTCACTGATGAAGCAAATACGTTCAAATGTAGCCTTCTCATCCACTGATGAAGCAAATACGTTCAAATGTAGCCTTCTCATCCACTGATGAAGCAAATACGTTCAAATGTAGCCTTCTCACCCACTGATGAAGCAATAACTCAGTCAAACAACAAAGCATATTTCTACATCAGGGAAGTCACATAAACAGAGCCGGGGCGCTAAATTGGCATCAGTCAATCTGATTTCCAAATAAAGTCAGTTGGCAATGAATATGTATATATTCCTCTGAATTACAAATCTATATTCATCTCTACCATAAATACTGTTAGTTGTAATAGAAGTGCTTGTAAGCACTTCTTTTTATAGGGATGGGAACAGCTCTCAGACAGAAATCAAACCAGTAGGCCCCAACTACCATCTTCTACAAAACATTTGTGTAGGCTTACATTTTCCAGTTTTCACTGCATAAAAAAACAACCTGTAACTATTTTTTTTCTTTGAAGCAGACACATTGTCTGAGAAACTGGTCCTCCGGTTTGCAGTCAGTATCTCCAATGGCGAGTCAATGGCCTGTACTTGTGTATCAAAACAGTCGTCTCTTTGACCGCAGTCACTGGACATTCAGTCGTGTCGGCTTGGCACATCTCAGCCTCTACAGTAGACGGCAACAAAACATGTCTGACATCAGTGCCGGGGAAATGTCACGACAGCGACAGTTTCTCCAACTACTGGTATGTTCTGTGGAACCAAAAGTACTTTGAACAGATTTGTAGTCACCCTGTGCCTATAGTCACCCTGTGCCTAGTAAATACCTAAAAAGAATCCCCTAAACCCCAGACTTAGTACGAAGTGAGCAGCTTGGAGCTCTGTTTGTTGGTCTTGTCATAGACGTCAATCTCAAAGTCGTTGTCGTCTGTGTCCGAGTCCGACCCGACGGAGTAGAAGTTCCCCGCACCGCCCCCGTTGCGGTCCATCTCCCGCCACCTGCGGCCCGACTTGGCGCGGCGCCGTCGCAGACACGAGCGCAGCGTGACCAGACCCAGTACTAGCAGCAAGACACAGGAGAGCGCGCCCAGACCGATCCACAGCGAGTACTGGGACCAGCCCTCCCCCGCCCCGCCCGCCTTGTCGCCGCTGATGAAGTCGTAGGTGCCAGGTTTTCCCCCCATGGCGATGATGGTCTGGTTAATCTGGTGACTCACGTTGTGCGGCAGGTTGGCCAGGCTGAAGTTCCCGTGCGTCGACTGCACCAGCCAGAAACTGTCCAGGACGGCCATCTTGCTTTCCTCGCACAGCTCCCACAGGAGGTGACTGGCGTTGGCGACGGTCAGACGGCCAAAGCTGTGACCTCCGGCCTCCGGTAAATGCAGCGCCGACCATTCCACTGAAGACAGAAAAATCAGGTTGGTGACGTTTATGACAGAATAAATTTGCATAAATTTTCAAAGGCCCACAGCCATATAAAAATGTCCCCATAATATATACAAACAAATATTAATCCCTCTGGGTTCAATTTGTTTTAATAGAGGGCTCTCGTTTATGAAAGGCACAGAAAAAAAGCAAATGTATCGTGTCCAAGGACACCATAGCTTCAGAAGTCACCAGACTTTGGTTGCCATTTTCTTGCTAATTTTACCTCTGCTACCTGGCGACCTCCACCTTCCTCAATAGCAAGTTCTCCACCTCTAATCCAGATAGATGGACATTTTTTTTCATCCAAAGATAGACAAATGAAAAAGCTTTAGAATGATACCAACAACTCCACATGCCCACAAACTGACGAGCGCCTGATTCCCCTGCGTCATGACACACACACATAACAATAGAAACACCTGTGAGCAGACGACTTGTAAAGGAATTCATTCCCACAATGAAAAAACTGGTCACCATGTAGGTTTATCATGCTGAACTAAATCTCAGCCACCATCTGCTCCGCGCGGCTATCTCAACAAGACAGGAAATCTCACCTTTTATTATTTTTTTTTCAGTAAGAGTTTTACAGTACTTGCAACACAATAAAGTCATATAAGTGCCAGAGATGTAGAGGTGTTACAAGAGAGTAACAAACACAGAAAGAAGGAGGAGAGATCAAGACGATAGATGTTTGATAGGAATGAAGGAGCACACCACACTAGACCACACCAGATCACCCACCAACCACCCACCAAATCTCACCTGTGTTGTTCTTGTTCTGAGCCCCGGCCCCATCCCCGGCCCGGGAGCCCAGTACGATCTCCACGGGAGCGCGCGGCTGCCAGTACGACTCATCCACCAGGACCCCCTTGTACTGGGGCCAGCCTCGCTCGTAGCCCGGGAACCCCGACTCTAACACTAGGTCCACGGCAAAGTGGTAGAACATGTCTTCTAGGCTGTAGATACGATGAAGAGAGAGAGAGGAGATAGGACATGTCTTCTAGGCTGTGGACACGATGAAGAGAGAGGAGATAGGACATGTCTTCTAGGCTGTGGACACGATGAAGAGAGAGGAGATAGAACATGTCTTCCAACCTGTGGACACGATGAAGAGAGAGAGAGAGGAGATAGAACATGTCTTCTAGGCTGTGGACACGAAGAAGAGAGAGGAGATAGGACATGTCTTCTAGGCAGTGGACACGATGAAGAGAGAGGAGATAGGACATGTCTTCTAGGCTGTGGACACGATGAAGAGAGAGGAGATAGAACATGTCTTCCAACCTGTGGACACGATGAAGAGAGAGAGAGAGGAGATAGAACATGTCTTCTAGGCTGTGGACACGATGAAGAGAGAGGAGATAGGACATGTCTTCTAGGCTGTGGACACGATGAAGAGAGAGGAGATAGAACATGTCTTCTAGGCTGTGGACACGATGAAGAGAGAGGAGACAGGACATGTCTTCCAACTTGAGGACACGATGAAGAGAGAGGAGATAGAACATGTCTTCTAGGCTGTGGACACGATGAAGAGAGAGGAGATAGGACATGTCTTCTAGGCTGTGGACACGATGAAGAGAGAGGAGATAGGACATGTCTTCTAGGCTGTGGACATGATGAAGAGAGAGGAGATAGGACATGTCTTCTAGGCTGTGGACATGATGAAGAGAGAGGAGATAGGACATGTCTTCTAGGCTGTGGACACAATGAAGAGAGAGGAGATAGGACATGTCTTCTAGGCTGTGGACACGATGATGAGAGAGGAGATAGGACATGTCTTCTAGGCTGTGGACACGATGAAGAGAGAGGAGATAGAACATGTCTTCCAACCTGTGGACACGATGAAGAGAGAGAGAGAGGACATAGAACATGTCTTCTAGGCTGTGGACACGATGAAGAGAGAGGAGATAGGACATGTCTTCTAGGCTGTGGACACGATGAAGAGAGAGGAGATAGGACATGTCTTCTAGGCTGTGGACACGATGAAGAGAGAGAGAGGAGATAGGACATGTCTTCTAGGCTGTGGACACAATGAAGAGAGAGAGAGGAGATAGGACATGTCTTCTAGGCTGTGGACACAACGAATAGAGAGGAGATAGGACATGTCTTCTACGCTGTGGATACGATGAAGAGAGAGAGAGGAGATAGGACATGTCTTCTAGGCTGTGGACACAATGAAGAGAGAGGAGATAGGACATGTCTTCTAGGCTGTGGACACGATGAAGAGAGAGAGAGGAGATAGGACATGTCTTCTAGGCTGTGGACACGATGAAGAGAGAGGAGATAGGACATGTCTTCTAGGCTGTGGACACGATGAAGAGAGAGGAGATAGGACATGTCTTCTAGGCTGTGGACACAATGAAGAGAGAGGAGATAGGACATGTCTTCTAGGCTGTGGACACAATGAAGAGAGAGGAGATAGGACATGTTTTCTAGGCTGTGGACACAATGAAGAGAAAGGAGATAGAACATGTCTTCTAGGCTGTGGACACGACGAAGAGAGAGAGAGGAGATAGGACATGTCTTCAAGGCTGTGGACACAATGAAGAGAGAGAGAGGAGATAGGACATGTCTTCTAGGCTGTGGACACGATGAAGAGAGAGAGAGGAGATAGGACATGTCTTCTAGGCTGTGGACACAATGAAGAGAGAGAGAGGAGATAGGACATGTTTTCTAGGCTGTGGACACGATGAAGAGAGAGGAGATAGGACATGTCTTCTAGGCTGTGGACATGATGAAGAGAGAGAGAGGAGATAGGACATGTCTTCTAGGCTGTGGACACGATGAAGAGAGACCTGCATCAGGTCACTTGAGCGCCAAGGGGTGGATGTCAACAGAGAAGTCCTTACAAGGAATCAGGCTTACTCTGCTCACCTCTCTAGCCTCAACAGCACAAAGTCTGCTTCGACTATCAAGGCACCCCGGAAATAGCAGTTCACAAGAGTGACAAACATACAAAAGAAGTAGAGGTAAAATGACGACAGTAAGGATGAGGAAAGAAAAAGCAGCAGTTCCCCCTATGTTGTTCCGGCACAGTATGAGCATGACATTGATAAATCAGCCCATTTACAATTCTACTGTATATAAGAACATGTTACTATACCCCCTTTGGGAATGTCCTAAAGACACTTCAGTCAGTAGCTCTGCCCTGGGGGGGGACATTCACAATGAAGAGAGAGGAGACAAGACAAAATAACATTTGAAGTAAATTCACACAAGATGAAGTCCAATTCCAAAGTCTTCGGAAGCCATTCATACTGTTGTGGCAAAATGAGAAACCCGGTATATAGTTAGCTCAGCATAAGTACTTACAGTAAACTTCATTTAAAACAAATCTAAGAGATCTGCCATTCTTTAAAAAAAAGGACATGATCCATCCATCTCACAAAAAAACATTTAAATCTGAACAGCAAATTTTAAAAATTTGATAACATCCCAATAGGACGATATACACGCTAACTTCATTCTGAAGATGCAGATAGGCATTTGAATTAAAATTGAAGGAATCTTCTCCCTTCTCAACATTACATATCATCAGTGGCATCCCACAATCCCCCAAATCAATGTCAAGGGGTTTCCAGTGAAAGCCATTAGTCAAATAATGACATCAAGGGGTCTTATCTCGGTGTCGTCTTTATCTCGGTGTCTTTCTGTTTTGCTATAATCTCCAAAAATGTCAAAATATGACACAAGCATTTAAGGAATAACACAGACAGTGTGGCTTGAGTTGTAAAGCTGGAAGTTACAACAGTGCAGATCTTGATCCAGAGTAAAAACAGGCAAAATGGAAACGGACTTACGCATGGCGGACTTTGGAAGTATTCATAGCACAGTCATCTGAGCTTGGGTTGCCGTAGGAACAGTACATGGGGTGTGAGCCAAGGGCAATAACCCAGGGTGTCTCGTTCCTGCGCTGATTAACCTCCGTGAGGTCGCGGACAAGCCAGTCACGCTGAGCTGTGGCTTTTGTCGTGTCCTCCGCAAATATCAGGTCAGTGGAGAAACTAAGGGAAGAGCAAAGACAGGACAAGTGGAATCAAGAAATCGAACACACGGGAAGGTTTACAGATTGCTCCAGCAACAAAAACAAAGGCATCTCCATTGTTCACATAGAACAGACAGAAGACACATAAATCAAAATCAAGCCCCCCCCCCCCTCAAATAGCCCAATAATACTGAACATAAAGATGTCCTTTGGACAGAGCTGAGCCTCAACCCCCCAATCCCGCAGTCTCACAATGATGAGTCCAGCAGCCCAACTATCAGACCACCGGCACCACCCGACCACATGGGAGCAGATGTGAGAAAGCTATGTTGTAGTAAAGAATCTCCCTGTCAGAAAGCAAGATGAACAATCCATACTCAAAAGTCTGGCTTTATTAACCCTCCAAGTGCCCAATACAATGTGCTGTGGTGTCAAGGCTTATTCAAGGTCTTAGAGTACTGTAAGGATAGGAAAATACACAACAGTAACAGAACAAAATGGTGAACTGACACGGCACAGCTACACAGCACACTGAGCGACACTCACAGACACCATGGCAAAAAAGACAACGAGAGACCAGAGATGAGACAAAGAAGACAACGAGTGACCAGAGATGAGACAAAGAAGACAACGAGTGACCAGAGATGAGACAAAGAAGACAACGAGTGACCAGAGATGAGACAAAGAAGACAACGAGAGACCAGAGATGAGACAAAGAAGACAACGAGTGACCAGAGATGAGACAAAGAAGACAACGAGTGACCAGAGATGAGACAAAGAAGACAACGAGTGACCAGAGATGAGACAAAGAAGACAACGAGTTACCAGAGATGAGACAAAGAAGACAACGAGTGACCAGAGATGAGACAAAGAAGACAACGAGTGACCAGAGATGAGACAAAGAAGACAACGAGTGACCAGAGATGAGACAAAGAAGACAACGAGTGACCAGAGATGAGACAAAGAAGACAACGAGTGACCAGAGATGAGACAAAGAAGACAACGAGTGACCAGAGATGAGACAAAGAAAAGACAACGAGTGACCAGAGATGAGACAACCCCACTCACCTGACCAGATGTACCAGACCCACGTCCACACAGTACCAGACAAACCCCCCCCCCCGACCAGATGTACCAGACCCACGTCCACACTGTACCAGACAACACCCCCACCCCCCCACTCACCTGACCAGATGTACCAGACCCACGTCCACACTGTACCAGGGTCTGTCCACCGACTGCGGCCACCCCCAGCCCGGCATGGAGAAGTGTTTGTTCACGTCCGGACCCGACGCGCCCTCATCTGTCAAGTTTTTGTTTTGTTTAAAAACCTTGTCACACAAATAGGTCGTTTGTCGCTTTGAAGGACAAGCGGGCTAACCCAGATTGAGAGTTTCCAGAAATCTTGACCTACACCAAAAGTGGACATTGCCCTACCTATAGGAGAAGTTTGGTTCCATTGGTGTGTATTTTTATTTGGTTATAGAGAAAACTCTCCTAGTCTTTTAAAGAAACTGAACAAGGGGCAAAAACTTTACCTTCGATTTTCTCAAATCAGCATGTTTCCGGAGAGCCCCCTTGTGCTTAAAAGCGACCATATATTATAACAATAATAATAATTACATTTATATAGCGCATATCCATGCTCAAGAGCATGCTCTATGCGCTTTACAACTATTATTACCCCAGCAGACCCTCTGAGAACATTCAGAAACATTCTCAGCTTCCGCGGAAGCATACAGTGCAAGCTGCGGATTTCACGCGCTCAAACACTATCAAACTGACAAGATCTTTCACTGTCTATAGCCGGGTACCCATTTCCACCTGGGTGAAGTGAGGAAAATTTGTGCAAAGTGTCTTTCCCAAGGCCACAACGTCAGGTCCCTGACGGGATTCGAACCCACGACCTTACGGTTGCGAGTCCGAGAGCCTAACCACTAGGCCACCGACGCCAGATCAGACGGCAAGTGTGAAAGATTAGAGGAGCTACTAGAGTGTAACATAAAAAGAAAAGGAGGAGAGATAAGGAAGATGGACGTTTGATAGGAAACAAGGAGCAAACCACACCAGAGCACCCGCCAACCACCCATGTCCTGAAACAAGGCAACATGCAATACAGCACCAAAGATGAGCACACATTTTTTTTTAAAGGGGGGGGGGGGGGGGGAATAAAAGAAAAGAACAAACAGTCACACAACTGTTTAACTGTTTTTCTGTCTCTTCGGTGAAAAAAGAAGGCCATAGGCACATCTACACATATATCTGGCTACAGTAGAGGAGCTCTCTCTCTCTCTTCTGGCGCTGTGGCTTCATAAACGGTCAGCGATGCCGACAGCACGCAGGAACTCAACACTCGCCCGGGGGTCCTTGAAAAGTGCTGAAAGTGGGTTACTGAAATGTCCCTGCAGACGGGTTCTAGCAGGACAGCTGGCGAGACATCTCAGGAACACATGGAGTAGAGGGGCTGTTCACATCATCAGAATGGTACACGATGATTGAGAAAATAAAAACAAAACCTTGCACAACATACCACTGGTTCAGTTTTAGGAAAAGTTTTTACTGTATTTTTGCAACACAATAAGGTCATATAAGTGCCGAAGAATAGATGTAACAAGAGAGTAACATACACAAAAAAAAGGAGGAGAGATAAGGACGATAAAAGTTTGATAGGAAATAAGGAGCAAATCACGCCAGAGCCCCCGCCAACCACCCACATAGCACTGGATGACAACTATTGTCGTGAAAAGAGAGACCATTCAAAGTGAAGTTTAGTTTTAGTAAGAGTTTTACGGCACTTGCAACACAATAAGGTCAAATAATTGAGTGAAGTCGTGTTACCTTTGCTCTGTGGCGCGATCAACACAGGCAGCGTGGCCACCGCTTGCTCTGCTCGTGTCAGGAAATCCTCCGACTCCTGGCACACGGACAAACAGAGGAGAACGTGAGAACAGAAAAGTGAGGCAGAGCGGAGAAATCAGGCGCTCGTCAAAATAGTGAAAGTCAAGAAAATGGCTTTTTTTCACAGGATTGGGAATTTTCATAGAATTTGTCTTCTTTGGCTCAACACCTTTCATGTCCAATAAAGAATACATCTCTGTGTCCGATTTACTGAAAAACGTTGATTAAATGGCATAAATAAAGTAAGTTTTCCGTTTCCCTGGACTCTCCAGCTAAGGAAATAACTAACCTTAGGCGGCCATTTCTTTGCTAATTTTACCTCTGAAGCCTGGCAACCCCCAGCTCCTTCAATCGTCAATAGCTCCACTATTTTACGGACAATCACTACAGACAGTGAAAATAAAATAGAAACAACAGAAATGTGGTTTCTTAGGAGACTGTTAAGAGTATCGTGGAAGGAAAAGAAATCAAACGAGGTAGTGCTTGATGAAGCCAACGTGGGACGCTCAGTGTTAAAAACAATCAGGAAACGACAAATACAGTTTTTGTTTTTGGGACACATCTAGCTCTCACTGGCAAAACTGAAGGCAAGTGAGGCAGGGGAAGGCCCAGAACAACATACGTAGGGAACCTAAACAAATGGGTAACAGGGAAAGATCAGGGAAACGTAGCTTTTTGAGAGCATCCGAGCAAAGGAATGAATGGAGAACCATGATCACCGATGTCTGTCGCAGATCTGGCACTGGATGATGATGATCACAACATACATGATATAGTCCCCCCCCCCCCCCCCTACCCCAACCCCCTTAATTAAATACAAAACAACAAAACAAAATCCTAGTAAAAAACAACAAAGAAACAAACAAAGAAAAGAGCATGTGAAAAGGAACAGATCTGTACACGTGTCATCACTTCCCACTCACGTCGATCCCCTCCCAGTCCTCCGTCCTTTCTGCTGGCCCTAGCTCTCCGTTGTAAAGTAAGGAAGCAAACTGTCCAGACTGCACCTCCCTGGTCACAGAGTTCATGAGGTCATTCTCTGACCCAGTGCTACTGAGAACTAAAAACTTGGAAGACCAGCTCTGCGAAAGAGTAACACGAGCAAGAGATCATTAAGACACACAGACTTCACAGACACTATATCTTGAATTGATATGATTACCTGAAAGTGCTCAACTTTTACAAAAAGATGAAAATTGTAATCTTATGCATGAATTAGAGATATTACCCATAAATTATTATCAACAAAAAGTCAGAAATATTACATTCCAAAACGACAAATTTCCACTCTTCAGGACTGGATCTGACTTCTGTAGTGTGAGAACAAAACTCCTTTATCTGGAGTTCACCCACTAACAATATTATCAGGAAATTGTCATTTCTGCAAACAACTAAAAAAACATGAACTGCTTCTTTCAAAAAACAACTTTCACACCCAGAGGGTGCAAGCAACAAAAGCTGAGAGACCATCCCTACATCTGTCAGAGACACTCAGCAGTGAGAAATCCCCCAACAACGTAGGCCTACAGGTTCCCTTCTGTACACTTTCTTCCCAACCATCTGCCTCATGGGAAACATGTCCCTGAATCTAGTCACCGTTCACTGCGACAATGACAGTAGATCGCCCTGAATCTAGTCACCGTTCACTGCGACAAAGACAGTAGATCGCCCTGAATCTAGTCACCGTTCACTGCCACAATGACAATAGATCGCCCTGAATCTAGTCACTGTTCACTGCAACAATGACAGTTGATCGAGACAAGCTGTCCCCCTGGGGCAAAGAGGGAAACTCCATGCACTGGTAGATCAATAGCAATAACAAGTTTAGTTTTAGTGAAAGTTTTTCCGCACTTTATACACAATAAGGTTATATAAGTGCCGAAGATTAGAAGTGTTACAAGAGAGTGACGAACACAAAAAAAGGAGGAGAGATAAGGACAATAGACGTTTGATCGGACAGAAGGAGCAGACCACGCCAGAGCACCCGCCAACCACCTAAAGTATTGCCAGTGATTGAACTCCATCTATTTTTAACAACACAGACGGTGTACTTACGCTACTGGACGGAGATGTCTTGAAGAGGAGAGAATTGGAACCCACACCATTCTTGACAACTGGCCGATAGTAGTAGGTCAGGTTGGGACTCAGATCCTGGGAAAATCAACACAACAGGAATGTCCTCAGTAACGCAAAGTTTCCTGGCAAACAGCTCAGACTTAAGACCTGTCACGTTGACACGGAAAACCATCAATGACACATACAGACCCACCTACGTTTGGGAACGTGCATAAAAATTAAGTAAAATGACACAGTGAAATGACCGACAAAATATTCTGCCAAAATACAAAATTGCAAAAGAAAAGGAAGGAACTGAAGCTTCAGGCTCCAACATAACAGAAGAGGAGAACTGAACAACAACCAAAGTCCCACAATATACTATTTGTTATCCATTGGAACCTTCTGCAGGCCTTTTACAGCACAGAGAACATTCCTACTATACATACTGTTCTATAGAACACCATTACAGCACAGAGAGAATTCCTGCTGTATATATAACTGTTCTATATAACACCATTACAGCACAGAGAGAATTCCTGCTATACATAACTGTTCTATATATATATAAAACACCATTACAGCACAGAGATAATTCCTGTTATACATAACTGTTCTATATATATATAACACCATTACAGCACAGAGATAATTCCTACTGTACATAACTGTTCTATATATATATAACACCATTACAGCACAGAGATAATTCCTACTATACATAACTGTTCTATATATATATAACACCATTACAGCACAGAGATAATTCCTACTGTACATAACTGTTCTATATATATATAACACCATTACAGCACAGAGATAATTCCTACTATACATAACTGTTCTATATATATATAACACCATTACAGCACAGAGATAAAAAAGACTGTTGCAGGCTGGCTACTTACAGTCAGTCTGTTTTAGTCAGTGTACCTGTTTTAGTTCAATTTCCCTTTTCTTATTTCACCTGAGAGAAATGTTTACTTGATCAAATTCAGTTCCAGAACAAAACATATTATATATAGTCATCTTCCAAATGAGCAATAATCCTAAAGTAAGCAAGGTGAACATCTATCTATCGCAAACTACAGTAATAAGTATCTTTACCTTAAGGACAGCTCGATGAAGGTACTTCAAACTTTTATTGCCAACATTCTCTAGCTCCACACATGAGCCGCTAGCAGTAAGATCAAGGTTCCATGGGTGTGCAGCGTAATGGACGACAGAATCACAGTTGCCTCGTGTGGCCCACATCACCACCATCTCAGACGTCACATTGCCCAAAGACAGGTGTACCTGTTCTGGCATACACCACACTGAAACAAACAGCCAGATTAGAGACATGAGACTCTACACCACACGGAAACAAACAGCAAGATTTGAGACATAGCTCTGGCATACACATGGGACTCCATACCATTTGAAGATCTGGGAGTCACATTTCTATTCTACATTTGATCTTCTTTCTCTCTTCCATCAGCGAAAGAGTCCTTGGCAGAATGTGTCAGAAGCTTAACCAAGACTCTTATATTTCTAATAATTCTGAGTTGCAAGAGTATAATGTCCTGCAATTACAAAGACCCATGTTCAGGCTCCAAACACTCTTTAGTTGTAGCAGCAGTTCTACATGTTTTAAGATCTATCCACACAGTTCTACATGTTTTATGACCTATCCACACAGTTCTACATGTTTTATGACCTATCCACACAGTTCTACATGTTTTATCACCTATCCACACAGTTCTACATGTTTTATCACCTATCCACACAGTTCTACATGTTTTAAGATCTATCCACACAGTTCTACATGTTTTAAGACCTATCCACACAGTTCTACATGTTTTATGACCTATCCACACAGTTCTACATGTTTTATCACCTATCCACACAGTTCTACATGTTTATCACCTATCCACACAGTTCTACATGTTTATCACCTATCCATACAGTTCTACATGTTTATCACCTATCCACACAGTTCTACATGTTTTAAGATCTATCCACACAGTTCTACATGTTTTATGACCTATCCACACAGTTCTACATGTTTTATGACCTATCCACACAGTTCTACATGTTTTATGACCTATCCACACAGTTCTACATGTTTTATCACCTATCCACACAGTTCTACATGTTTTATCACCTATCCACACAGTTCTACATGTTTTAAGATCTATCCACACAGTTCTACATGTTTTAAGATCTATCCACACAGTTCTACATGTTTTATGACCTATCCACACAGTTCTACATGTTTTATGACCTATCCACACAATTTAAATCATTTACTGTGTAGGCTGCTTCCACCCAACCAGTTAAAGCCAACCCGTGCTAAGAGCAATCAGTCTCAGCAGACAGACAGACAGACAGATACACGCTCAATGAAACAACTCCCCACCCAGGTGTATCAGATTCATGTCTTCTTCGTGCAACATCACAGATGTGAGCACACCTTTAAGTACAGAAGAAAGCCACTTGTTCAGTTACTAAAAGTATGAGATTATTAAATAATCCAGAAAAGAGACTAACAGGAGTACCTAATACAACCTAAAATTTAGAGTCAGCCAGACTTTTAATTACCTTAGTAAACAGACAATCTGCAGGTTGAAATTGTAAATATTTGATTGCCAAACATTAACACCACTGAAAATGCGATTAAAAATTTATAATAAAAAAGATTTTGAAATCCTTCGACAAATGAAGAATTTCGCATTCCCTCTGCAAACACAGAAAAAGGAAACAGTGTACAATTTTTCTGTTCAATTGGATTCTAATCCAAGAGCAAAACAGAAAACTTTATGCATACCACAGCGAGAATTGGCAATTTATAGCTACAATCACAACCAGTAAATATTGCTCTAATGCAATACAAGTCTCAATATATGAAAAGAATAATCTCTATTAAAAGTGTCTTACCCTCGTCATCTTCGACACTTCTAGCAGTCCCCGCCCCAGGAGCCACGGCCGTGTCAAGATCAGGAATCTGACCTTTTGGAATCTCGGATGTGTGCACAACAGACAGTGCCAGAGAAGTTACAATCAAAACAGCAGACACCGACTGAGGGAACATTCTGTTTGATTCCTTTTGATTCCTGAAAAAACAACAACATAAAGGAATAAAGACAAAATCTGCATCAGTAAAATACAAAATCTTTAAAACCCAAAGAAGCTGAACACTGTATTCAAGACAAAATTATCAAAATACTGCTCCTACCACAATAATATATATTTCAATTTCACACACATATATACTAATACAAAGTATCAAGTCAAACAATGACATTTAAGCCAAAGGCTTACTTTGAAAAATTGTCCCAACGAAATACACCTTAGAACTGTCTCCTCTTCCCTATATAGGCCTAGGTAATATAATGTTACTTGCATTAAAGAAGAGCTGCTATCTAGATCAAAGGTGGGTAAGCTAGCAAGTACGCAACGTTTCAGTTCCAAGGTTTTATGCCCCGCAGCCTTGGAAAGCTAAGAAAACAATAAAAGTCTTTATCTAATCCAATGAGAATAAAATTTGCAGTACACTGAAGCCCATTTTCGACATTGGGATTTTCCTTGATGAACATGCCAGGCACGTTTCTTCTTCTAGTACAGTAGGCTAGAAATTTACAGTGTTTGCCGTTGCCCATACGATGGAAACCTGATGTTAGAAGGCGAGGAATGCAATCTCTGGTTCCATGCCAAGTGCGTAGGACTAAAAACACAGCTACAACGTAAAGAAGCTGCCAACAGTTGGTTGAGCTTGAGGTGCTCTTGTTCAAGGAATAAAGAAAGGGAGTGTATACAGACCCGGTAACCGGGAACAAAGTCACAAAGTATACAGACCCGGTAACCGGGAACAAAGTCACAAAGTATACAGACCCGGTAGGTGTACCGTCGGGACTTCACAATCACAACATGTAGATCTAGACAGACATTGAAAACAACAGGAGCCAGACATGACTGTACCGGTGGACGTACTCTTTATTACTGACCAGTAGTGACCACTCTTCTCTAAAATACGTGCCAGTGGTTACAGTTGCCAGGTCTTCCTAAATACTAAGGCAATAGAGGTGGTTTGCCTAATAGTAATGGACATTACATCCCTCCCCAGTTTAGCTAGAGAATTTAACACCAAAGACAGAGGGATTTGATTTCAGAAATAAAAATCAATTAAAAATTAATCTTGTTTTATTATGTAATTTATAGTCTCATACTTGGCTTGACTTGACTTCCAGCCGGTTCCTACCGGTGTCCTCAAAAGAATAGTGTATTTTTGTATCTTAATAACTTAAACTGTAAGAAAACAATTGACTCCTATTGAGTCTTATAATTAGTGAACTGCTGTACATATATAAGGTATAACGTGTGTATGCATTATGTTGCGTGCCGCTGCACTTGCCCTGAATCAGAGATTCAACTTTCCTAAGGTGTGTATTTGTTGGGCGGTTTCACAACGCGGCCGCTTCTTGTTACTGTAGTATATGGACTTGTTTGAGACTGTGTGCGAGAGTAAGAGCGTGATGGCTGCATTACTCGCATTGGTGAGTCTGTTTGCTCGACCAAAGTAGGAGAGTGTGGAGACTGGGCTCGCACTAATGGGTGATGCGAATAGGAGGTAGGTCCTGGTGTAGCTTGAGTGGAAGATCTTGAAGATCTTGGAGACCCAGTAGATTGTTGTGTAGAGCATGTTGCAGATCTTGGAGACTCGGTAGGTCTCATGTCTCTTTGTCTAGTATGTGGCTTTGGATGTTGCCATTGTTTTAAAGGCTCTAGGAAGTCTTCCGGAGCCTCATATGTGTCTGCCTCTATCTCCTTTTCCTCCCCAATTTGTTGAAAAGGAATCTGTTTGAAGTGGGATGAGTTCCTGACGATTTGATGAGTCCCTCTTCTTGCAGTAATCATGCTTCCTTTTATGTTCACTATTGTGTACGGTTTTGGTATGTATGGTGGGGTGAGCTTGTTCATCTTCTTCTGGCGAACTAATACAGTGTCTCCGACACTAAACTTGTGGGGTTGAGTTCTCCTTGTCCTATCTGCAAATGTTTTTTGTTTAGATTTGGAGGCAGAGTCCTTCTTTGCAAGATTGTAGTGGAACAAAGAGTCCCTTTCCACACGAAGCTCTGGGAAAAATGTTTTCATTTTCCTCCCAGTGAGGGCCTCATGCGGTGAAACTCCTGTTGAGGAATGGGGAGTTGAGCGAAATTGGCGAAGGAAATTGGGCAACTCCTCCTTCCACGATGACCCTCCCGATTCGCAGGTGTGAATGAATTTGTTGATAGTTCTTACAAATCTTTCAGCCTCGCCATTTGCTTCTGGCCAGAGAGGAGTGATTCTGCGGTGATGAAAACCCATCTTCTTGGCGAATGTTGCAAATTCTTTGCTGCTGAATGGAGGTCCGTTGTCACTTTTGAGGACGCTTGGGTTACCGAATCTGGCAAAATTTTGATTAATTTTTGGAATTACTGATCTTGCCGACGTTGAGTGTAGAATTTCAACTTCTGGGAAGCGGCTATAATCATCCATCATGATAAGCAGATATTCGCCAGATGGAAAAGGTCCTGCAAAGTCGACTGATATTTCATCCCATGCACAATCTGGCAGTGGTGTCATCTTCAATGGTTCACGATTTGGAGTGCCTGTGACTGATGATTGGCATGGTACACACCCTTTCAGGTGTTCTTCCACCATTCTGTCTATGCCTGGAAACCATACTTTCTCGCGGATTAGTTGTTTTGTTTTTACAATACCTTGGTGAGAGTCATGTGCGAGAGTGATCACTTGATGGTGTAGGCTACTAGGAATAACCAGTCTGTGTTGGCGCATTATGACCCCATCGTAAACCGAAAGTTCATCTCTGATATTTGAAAATGAAGAAAGCGACTTGTCTTTCCAGTTTCCAGACTGGATTGCCGTCATCACTCTCTTCAGCTGAGGGTCCTTCTTTGTGGCGACTTTGACTTCATCAAGAGTAAAAGCATTTGGAACTCATGCTTTCGTCACATAACTGATGTAGTTTTCACCTTTGTTGTCTCTGGTAGGTTCAGTAATGGGGTGACGGCTAAGATAATCTGCTGGATTGAGCTCATCTTTCCCAGGTCTGTATCTGAGGTTGAACTCGTATGGCATCAGCCTAAGACGCCATCTCTCAAAGCGTGCTGAACATGGCTTGTTGCTGTTGATTATGCCAAGTAATGGTTTATGGTCAGTTGTAACAGTGAACTTAGACCCATATAAGTACATGTGGAACTTCTCCACTCCAAACACGACGGCTAGCATCTCTCTTTCGGTTTGGGAGTATCTCGTTTCCACTGGTGTAAGTGCTCGACTTCCGTAGCTAATGACATGCCCCTCCTGAGTTAAGATTGCACCGAGTCCACATGGGGATGCATCGACTATGATCTCAGTAGATTTGGCTGAATCAAAGTAGGTCATGACTCCTGCGTTTATAAGAGCGGATTTGATCAAAAGCATCCTGTTGAGGTTTCCCCCAAATCCAAGACTGAGTCTTCTTTGTCAACATGCGTAAAGGTTCTGTGATAGTCGCATACCCTCTGATAAAGCGTGACACATACTGCGTCATGCCAAGAAATGATCTAACTTCTGAGACAGTTGACGGCGGTGCTGCCTCAGATATGGACTTGATCTTGTGCGGCTCGAGGTAGATTCCATCTTTGCCGAAAACATGTCCCAGGAAGGTCAGCTTTTGGATTCCGAACAGACATTTTTCCTTGTTCAATTTGACTCCTTTGTCTTGTAATCGGTCTAGTGTAGCTTGCAAATTCCTGTCATGCTCATTTCTGTTCTTGCCGAAGACTATGACATCATCAATGTAGTTTGTGACACCCTGAATATCATGTAGTATCTGACTAAGGTGATGCTGGAACAGTTCTGGAGCTGCATTTATGCCGAACATAAGTCTTTTGTACCTTCTCAGGCCAACATGAGTAGCGAAAGTGGTGATGTGACGACTTTCTTCTGCCAGTTCCATCTGATGGAATGCTTGCTGTAGGTCCAAACGACTGAAGAATATGGAGCCATTTAATTCGTTGATCACCTCCTCGAGTGTGGGCATTGGGTGTCTCTCTCTTTTGATAGCTGTATTTGCACGTCTCATGTCTACGCAGAGACGAACTCCACCAGATTTCTTTGGGACAACTACTATAGGACTGACCCATGAGGTAGGACCCTCTACCTTTTCAATGATTTCTTGTTTTTCTAGGCGTTGAATTTCCGCTTCAACATCCTTCCTTACATGGTATGGTATTCTTCTGTATTTTTGGGCGACTGGTTGAACTTCTTGATCAATGTGGAGTTTAATCATGAGACCTTTAATTTTGCCGAATCCCTGAAAAAGAGCATCCGAGATAGTTACATTGTTCAGGAAGGAAATTATTCCTAGTTCCTCTTTCTGTGAAACGTCCAAGGACATCCAGCTTTTCACTGTTTGAGTATCCATAAATAGCAATAGGATCAGGCCTCAAAATAGGTTTCTCCTTCATCAGATCATACGTTGTCTTTGTTATGATATTTACAGATGCACCAGTATCGACAATAAACGTCAGCTTGCTTGAACACATATTTACCGTCACTGTAGGTACGTTTTTCTTTGGATTTATCTGAAACACTCCAGTGCTGTCAGAATCTGATTCATCATCACGGTGAATTTGCTTTACCGCAGTATTTTGGTTTTGCGATTTCCCTGAAGCTTTACAGACAGAAGAAAAGTGATTATATTTGCCGCACGAATGACAAACTTTGCCTTTTGCTGGGCATGGTCTTGTTGACGGATGGGGAAAAGTGCCACCACAGTTCCTGCACCTTGTTTTGCTCCCTGAAGGTTTACTTCCTTTGTGTGTACCCTTGTATCTGGGTTGATTACTTGCACCTACTTTTTCCTGAGAATGACTCTGCTCTGTTCTGTTGATACGTCCTGGTTTTCTGTTGATGGCTGAAGCTTGGCCTACTTCTCTTTCTATCTCCCCAACCTGCTTGTTGGTTAGTTCTTCATTCCTAGCTTCTTGTAGGAATTGCTGTAAAGTTACTTTATCCTTAATTGCTTTCCTTCTCAACTGTGACGATATGACCCCTTCAATCATCTGTGACAGAATTTCTCTTTCAAGATCAGCAAAGTCACACAGAGCTGCTTGTCTGCGTAAACGTACATGAAACTGGTCTACAGATTCCAATTGTTCTTGATGCATTTTTCTGAACTTGAATGATTCGTACACCAGATTTACTTTTGGCGTAAAATGATTTGTTAGAGTCGTTTTGAGAGTCTCGAAGGTGGATTTATGTTCCTCTGGAAACGTGTCAACTAGATCAAATATTTCTTCGCCTCCATAATGTATTAGTAAGGCTTTTTTTTCTGCTATCAGACTGGATATCCATACCAATTAACAGATTTTCAAGCTGTTGAATCCATTTTCGCCATCTCGTCCCGACAGATAATTCATCCTCGCGGATAATGAAGTTAGGGAATGATGGAAGAGACATTATTTGACTAGAATCTAGAGATCTAGTTGTTTCACTGAAAAAAATGTAGGACTAACTACCAGATCTAACTAACTGACTTAACCTCGAGTATGGGTTTTGCCCATCAACTCACCGTATTGTACAGTCGTTCTTCTTCAACTCACCGATAGTAGATCTAGTCTACCGTAGTACTCATCTAGTACGTGATCCTCGTCGCCATTGTACCGTCGGGACTTCACAATCACAACATGTAGATCTAGACAGACATTGAAAACAACAGGAGCCAGACACGACTGTACCGGTGGACGTACTCTTTATTACTGACCAGTAGTGACCACTCTTCTCTAAAATACGTGCCAGTGGTTACAGTTGCCAGGTCTTCCTAAATACTAAGGCAATAGAGGTGGTTTGCCTAATAGTAATGGACATTACAGTAGGGTAACTCTTTCGTGATTTCGGAAAGTTTCAGCGCCCTCTTGGCTCAGGGTAGAACTAGGTTTTTCTAGATCTATGGCCTAGGTCTAGATCTAGACAGACAGATAAATCATTGATCTAGTTTCGAGGCTAGCCTAGATCTAGATCTAAATCTAAATGAAGATTGCGGATGTATTTTCGATGAACGATCGTTTTTCCTCCGTTTTGGAGTTAGAGGAATCACAATTTGAAGAAAAGAACAATGTCATAATTTCAATCGAGCAGTCACCCTCTCTATTTCTCTCTCTCTCTCTCTCTCTCTCTCTCCCTCTCTCTCTCTCTCCTCTGTCGCTGTGTATCACTCGCATTCTCTTTTTCTTTGTTTGTCTCTGTCTTTCTTTCTCCCCACCTATTTCCCACTCTATCTTTCTCTCGTTCCCTCCTGCCAACTGGGGCATACATTTTGCTAGCACTTCCCCCTGCTCTCTCTCTCTCTCTCACACACACACACACACACACACACATACTACTGGGTCTGGGCGCTGAAACTTCCCAAAATCACATAAGAGTTCCCTTACCGGGTCTGTATACTTCGTGACTTTGTTCCCGGTTACCGGGTCTGTATACACTTCGATAAAGAAAACAATACTTGTATTTACATAAATTTTTAATCAACACACAACAATTTATCACAAGCCATTAAACCTTGACCGTATTTGGAATACCACGAGAAGTACTCAGCCAATCAAATCCGTCCATATACTGAGTGCAGGTGCTCGATTTAACGTCGTGTCAATTTATCTGCCTCCCTCAACCGTCAACACAAAGTTCAAAACACAACTCTTCATGGAAGCCAAACAACAGGACGCTCAAAGACTGACATGCTCCGTAAACCAATTTTGTTGTGTTTTTAATTCACTTCATTATCATAGTGACATAGACAGTTTATCGACAGAATGCACAGTAAGTATATATTTCACGGATCGATAAAAAGCGCTGCGCGATCCGCTGATCAACAGAATGCACAACAATTTATGGATTGTCGCGCGTTTTCTCAATCAACCAAATGCGCTGCGTGATCTATGTATTCATACACCCTGTGTGAATAAAAATCCATAGTATTCACACCCTGTGCGAATAAAGCCTACTAACAGTTCTAGAAAGTGAAAACAAAAAAGTACTCACTCACTGTACCGTCCATGGATTATGTACTCAAAATATTAAGGCATCCATGATAGCAAATTAACAAACTTTGGGTTAAAATTTGAATACACTGAGACATCGGACAACAAAGACTTGGTCTTCTGACTTGTGATCATGCCATATCACCACTAAATCTATCACATGATCTTGATCACAACATGGTCTTGCTTTAATAAAAGTTCCGCAAAGTGTAGGTCTAGATCTAGATCTACATCTAGATCTGGATAAAGATCTAATAAATATTGATAAAATTTATGAATAGATCTAGTGAAGTCAACGGTTGCATATACATTAGTCACTGTATTACCAGGGGCAGCGGTACTCCACTTTCAACAAGACAACATAAAGCCTGACAAAGGTCCAAGTCCTATCGGAAAAAAAAATGAAAGTCTTTGTCAGCTTTGTTTGAAAGTAAGTTTGAGTTACTTCCTCCAATATTTAACCCATGGTAGTGTAGCACACAGACAAAATAGATTTCCAACGATGAGGAGTATCATGACTCATGACAACACATACTCTGCAAACATTTGTGGTGAATCTTCGTCGTTCACGTTGTCTGCTTTGAAAGACCAACGAAAACAAGGCCCAAGGCCAAGATCACCAAGATACCAAAAACACACAAAGACTGAGAGTCTGTACCTTTGGCAAGGGGGAACGCGGGATGAATGGTTAATCATTGAGTTTGCATTTAGTTTTTAAAAGACAAGACCTTTGTCAAATTTGCATTCTTTTAGTTTCATTAACATGATGATACATTACCTTGCGACAGTCACTTGCTTGCAGCTGAATCGACTAGATTCTACCTTCTTCGAAGAAGAGCGATTACTCATTTCTATTATAATCATCATTGCTATGACAGTTTGGGACCAAATTATAATGATCCATTACGACCCTTTGCCTTTTCGTTGTGTGTGTGTGTGTGTGTGTGTGTGTGTGTG